ACTTTTAAAAAAAAAAAAAAAAAAAAAAAAAAAAAAAAAAAACCTAAAAGCACTTGTTACTCTTTTAAACAGATGCTGTATGTTTTCTGTATATATATAAATATATTTAAAAATGTTTGTATATGTGTTTGTATAGTAGGTTTATACGTTTTGCGCTGCTTAATATAACTTGCTACTGTGGTCGGAACTTGAACTTGATGCTTTTGTTTTAAATTGTGTTGTTGTTGTTATTGTTGTTGCTGTTATTATTATTATTATTATTATTATTATTATTATTGCTGTTAATTGTAGCTAGAAATGTAAGGTAAGCCCCGTTGATTGTATTTGGTCTTATACAGTAAATATAGTACGTGTGTGTTCGGATGATTGTTTGTGGTATATTTTATATTATTCTGAGAGCATGCGCTCTTTTCATTTTTTTAGAAAACAGCCTGAAAGAACGCGAACACTCATTGGTTAAGTAAGGAATTGCATACAATTCGAAGAATAGCAACAATAACGAAACTTATTAATTTGTGACGTAGTAAGAAAGATGTTAACAACAATAACAACAACCGCAGTAATAGTAGTAGTAATAAAAAACAACAGTAATAACAAAAACAAATAAATTGTGCATCACTTGGCCCGGCCGAAAGCTTATTTAATCATACCGCTGTATTGTTAACAGAAGCAATGATATCGTTCGCTGTTACCGCCGCTGCCTCTGCCTCTGTCATTGCCATTACTTCTAAGATGATGATAGTGGTGGTGGTGGTGGTGGTGGTGGTGGTGGTGATGGTGGTGGTGGTGGCGGTGGTCTGCGTGTTATATGCATACGCTCGTGTACAACAGCAGCACACATACATACGTAAATATTCGACTCTGGCTAAACGTTCTCTAACTAACTAAGTAACGACAACTTGGGGTCGTACTCGTATATTGCTCGACATGTGAACCGCTGTTAACGACGAGAGTATATAAACATTGGGAGCTTGGACATCGAGCATGCATTGATTCGCTATCATTCGCTCTGAAAACTTGCTTCTTTGGTTAAGAAAAAAAACACATTTTTTGTTGTTTTCTAACACCAGAATTCAGTGAAATACTTACACAAAAAAAAAAAGTAGTTACTGAAACGTTTGTTGTAATAAATTAGCTTATCAATTAATTAAAAAAAGGATATAAATATTTCAATTCATAATAAAAAGCGCGAAAATTCGTGAAAATTTTTAGTGCAATATATAGCAAGCAGAAAATTGTGTTTTCCAAACGATACAACGAAACGAGGAGAAAAACAATTTTCGCATAACACTATCACATTAGAAGGCTAATAAGACACAAACGTCCAATTACTTGCTGCAAGGAATTTTCTTTAACAGAAAAACGAAGCAAGGATTATTTTATTAAAAGCAATAAGCAGTGCGAGACAAGAAGGCTTATTTTTCAATATATATATATACACATATATATCAATCCAAAAAGTATTAAAAGTGTTTACCTGCACTTTAATAAATTTTTGATTACATCAATCAAATTACACATTAATTAATTTTTTTTAAAAATAAATAAAAAACAAACAATTACATACAAAATGATGGCTGTAGCTGCTGCTCAAAAGAACCGCGAAATGTTCGCTATCAAAAAATCCTACAGTATTGAGGTAAGTTTAACAAAAAAAAAAAAAAAAAAAAATTAAAAAAAAGGAGTGGCAAAGAGGGGGGAAAAAAAAAAAATTAAAAACAATAATATTTCTATTCTTAAGCACAGAACAAAAAAAAAAAAACATGAATGAATAAATAAAAAAGAGGAAAACATTTTAACAATTAAATAAAAATCATTACAATGCGAAAAGTCTCACGAGTTAAAATCATTGAAAACAAATAATTTTTAATTTTACATTATTCAACTATGAATAAAAGGAAAGAAGCATTCATTCTCGGTTCTATTCGAAAAAGATGAAAACGAAAACACAAATAGGTCGCGAACGAATCTGGTCGATCTGGACCGAAACTAAAACAGTTTCTTATATATTGCGATATGTCAGTGTTAGTGCATCAAATGGGAATTTCAAGAATTTCAAAATTTCAATTCTGCAAGAGGCCGTGCAGTGACTTTACAAAATCACTTACATTTGTTATTGCTATCATTTTTGCTAAATAAGCTTATATTTCCCGTTGTAAATGGGATTTCTTGGGTGAATTGGTCGAATTTCTTAAGTTTCATAAAAAGACGAACGGACAGATGGACAGACAGATGGGCAGACAGACGGACAGACGGACAGACAGACGACCACATTGTCTCTACCCAATAAAATTAATGTATACGCACTCTCGCTTTGGAATCTCAGCATTTCAGCATTTTTTTGTCTTCCCTGTAAGCCTTTAATATTTACCAGTAGCTATAATATAAAAAAAATTGGATTTTTTTTTTTTTTTTGCTTTGATGTCAAACAGAAATTTTTTTGTTTTTTTTTCATATTTATGACTGAGATCATCAGTTTAGCAAGCAATAAGTGAAAGTAAGTTTTGACCCTTTTCTTCTGACCGGATTTTTTATTTTCAAAATTAAAATGATTTAATCATGTAAAGCCAGTTTACAAAGTGGAACCAAAAAAAAAAAAAATGTTTTTCTTTTGTTTCTTAAATATTACGACGATAGGTTTTGTACACTAATAACCAAAGCAAATCCAAAAAAAGTGCTATTAAAAAATCTATTGATTAATGTCTCTTAACCACCACACTTTGAAAAAAAACCAAAAAAAAAAAGTGTTAATAAAATTGTAAACATAACAAAAAACTTACATAACTTTCAAGTTGCACGACTGACATTCATTGATAATAAGAAAGAAAAAAATAAAAAAAAAAACAATAAAAAAAATAAATAAAAATATTAAGGACATTCACACGCCCGAGTGTTTTTGCTAAGCATACATTTTATTATGTATTTGAATCAATTTACAAAATTTTAATTTATTAAAGTTTTCGGTAAAACAGCAGCACTCAAGTGCTCACTCAAATGGACTCTTCTTTGACGTGAACTGACCTAATAATTTTCAGAAATATTTTAAAACATGTTTTAACAAAAATTCCCATAAATTTTCTACTTATTTAACATATTTTTATTAACGATGTTTTGCTCTTTTTTTTTTTTTTTTTGTTTGTGTTTTGTTTTTATTTTTGTTTCTTGATTATCAGGTCACTTTTATTGTCAACTTAACTGACTAACTGAACAAGTTCATTATTTATGTGTAAAAAAAAATTTTTCTTTCTTTTTCTCGTTTTTCTGTTCTCTCCTTTTTTCCCATCTTCTTGTTAATAAAAAAAAAAAAAAAAAAAAAAAAAAAAACAAAGAAATTTTTATTTATTTATTTTTTTTTTTTTAATTTTTTAACTGCTGCATCTTTTTTTATCTTTTTTTTTTTTTTTCTCATAAAATTTAAAAACAAAAATTATATCATAACAGAAAAATGTATTTCTTAAGAAAAAAAAAAAAAATTATTTTTTAAAAACTGAAAATATATATAGAAAAAGATATGATCAAGATAAAAAGAAACAAAATTTTAAGAACGAAATTAAAATCTATAATGAAAAATTAGTAAAACGTTCGTATATTCGTTTTGAGACGAATCTTTGATGCACGGTACACGGTAAGCACATATGTACACCAAGTACGTGTTCGTTCGCTAAGATTGTGGAGCGATTGACTTTAATTGAAAAAGGAAAACGCAAAAGTCGTTTCTTGTGAATAATTATATGGGCGTGTCAGTAGGCCATAATGCATTTTTAAAGATCTTTTTTAAATATTTGTTGTTGTTGCTAGTTGTTGAAATTTATTTCTTTTCCGCTTTTCTAAAGCATTCTCCGGTTTTAAATATAGTCAATATTAAGCTCGCGTTTACGATTGCAAATTCCAAATACGTTAATAGGTTAACCTTTAAACTGAAATTCTTAAATTTCACAAACAAACAATTTCTTGGCATCAAGAAAAGCAAAAGACTATAAAATACCCAACATCATCCTGCAATAATTCATATATAAAGATTTTAATCTAAGACATTGAGAAGACAGTGAGAAGTGGATGAAAAAGCGGACCGATGCTTAGGCTAAGACACATCAATGTACCAAATTTCATATAAATATCTCATAAATTGTGATCGATAGCTTGACTATATACAAAAATAAGGCAGACAGGCGAATAGATGAAAAGACCGAACGGTTTAAAGGCGGTAGATATTGCTTACATACACGCTAACTTAAGGTAAACCTTTACCACATGTGGTGTATAACGAGTTAGGAATGGCTTCATAACAATTTGTGAACGGATTTCTAGGCTAATATACTTATTAGATTTGTGTATGCACGGAGAGAGATTAATTTATTTAATTTTTTTGTTTTATTTTTTCAAGAATGGTTACCCTTCGCGCCGTCGTTCATTGGTAGATGACGCCCGCTTCGAGAGTTTGGTGGTTAAACAAAACAAACAAATCGTTTTGGAGGAAGCCCGCAATAAAGCTAACGGTATGTATGTGAAAAGGGAAATGAAGGAAAAATCATAAAAAAATTAAAATATTTTTTAAAAATAAAAGGTCAAAGAAAACTAGTAGGGAAAAATACATACATAAATTTTTTGTAATTTTTATTTTTTTAAATATTTAGTTAATTTATTATTTTATGTTTTTTTTTGTTTTTTGCCTTTTCTTCGTTTTTTTTTTTTTTGTGTTATGCCTTTTTGGTTTTATCATAAGATGACTTGGAAGAAACTATTATGCAAACTAAAGTCGAGCAAGTGCCTACGAGCGAAGAGAAAATTCAAGTTCAAGATGAACAGCAATTGGACGATGTTGAAATACCCGAAGATATCGAACAGGAACAGCCTAATTTCACCGAAGGTGCGATTTCAAGTTTTTAATATTTAAAATTTTACTTTTTATTTATTTATTTTTTTGAGTTTTTGAATTTTTATAATTTCATTTATTAATTTAATTTTTATTTTTCAATTTTTTTTAATTTTTTTTTTTTCGCAATATCAGTTAATACCGTCGAAACCGTACAAAGTGTAGAGTCTACAGAAAATAATAGCTCAGAAGATACCAATAATGATGGTAAGAATTTGTTAAAACGCATTTTTTTTTTTTTTCTGTTATAATCCACAATAGATCTTAGTTAATCCATAATAGATCTTAGAAAGTAAAACATTTGGTTAAAAGATAGCTTAACTTGTTACCAAATTATTTATTTTCGTAAATATCCTACGTGACAGTAATAAAATCTATAAGTGATGCTTGCTAGTAGTAAAAAAATTTTCCCATTGAATATCATATGAGAAAGTTTCTTGAATAAAGTTAAGAAATTCTCTGTCAAGTTTTTATGCTCTTTGCAATCAAGAATCACTTACCATTTTATTTTTTACATTAAAAAAAAGTGATATAAAGAAAAAAAATAATTTTCAATAATACTTTTTAAGTGGTTTTCATAGCTGCTATAATTTTGCAGTTATGATTGTGTGCGTACGTGTGCGTGCGACACACGCAAATGCTTAGGCATTTAAGCTTATTTCCGTTTATGCTTCAGTTGCTGCCGTCAACACTAAGAAGCATATTATATATATATATATATATATATATTCTTCATAACTTACTTATAAAGTTTTTGTTCAAATTCATTCATCATGATTGTCATGATTGTCGTATGAAAGAGCGAAGAAAATTATGGCAAATACGTGCCTGGCATTATTATGATTATTGTGAGGATTTGATTTCTTTAAATAGAAAATCGGATTTAGTTTTTATATTTTGATTGCATTATTATTTTTCATATATTACTAGGCAACACTAATCCTTTATTGTTGGAATTATTTTCTTCTTTTTTTTTTCTTTTTTTTTTTTTTTGTTACTTAAGATGCCGGTTTAACTGAAGATGAAATTGTTTTGGCTAATGCAGCCTCTGAGTCACCCGAGGCGGAGAATGCTATGCAAAATGCTGCCATTATTGTTCGTCTTAAGGATGGCATTGCTTCATTGGGTCGCATATTGAAAGCTGTTGAAACTTATCACGGCACCGTGCAACATGTTGAATCACGTCAATCCCGTGACCAAGGTGTCGATCATGACGTTTTAATTAAGCTGAACATGACCCGTGGCAATTTATTGCAATTGATACGTTCGTTGCGTCAATCGGGCTCATTCAGCGGCATTAACTTGTTAGCTGAAAATAATATTAGTGTCAAGTCTCCTTGGTTCCCCAAGCATGCTTCCGAATTGGATAATTGCAATCATTTGATGACCAAATATGAACCCGATTTGGATATGAATCATCCTGGTTTCGCTGACAAAGTTTATCGTCAACGTCGCAAGGATATCGCCGAAATTGCTTTTGCCTACAAATATGGTGACCCGATTCCCCACATTGAATATACCGAAGTTGAAGTAAAGACCTGGCGTTCAGTATTCCGCACTGTTAAGGAATTAACACCAAAACATGCTTGCGCTGAATATCGTGCTGCCTTCAAAAAATTAGAAGAAGAGAAAATCTTTGTTGAGAATCGTTTACCACAATTGCAGGAAATGTCTGAATTCTTACGCAGAAATACCGGTTTCACTTTACGTCCAGCCGCTGGTTTATTGACTTCTCGCGATTTTCTTGCTTCTTTAGCTTTTCGCATCTTCCAGAGCACACAATACGTGCGTCACGTTAACTCACCCTTCCATACACCAGAACCGTAAGTATTATTACAACATTTTTTTTTTCTCTTCTTCTTGTATTTGGTATGACATTAAACTAAATATTTTTCATTCCCTCATTATTAAGGTTATTAAAGTCTATAAAAAAAAAAACAAAAAAAAAAAATGAAAAAAACTTTACTTGCAGCCGGAAATAAGTCTGACATTGCCTTATACTCTTTACTCTTTGACGATGTCTTTTAGAAATTATTACTCATACATATATACATAATTTCCTTTTTGCTTTCAACAAAATACCATTAAAGGAAACAAGTGTTGAATATGAACAAAGAGTATATATAATTGGCCTGAAAGTAGGCAACACAAACACAAATACATATGTTCACTTAACTTAAAGTCAACTATAAGGGTAGCGGGATATGACGGTATCCGGGTATTGTAGAGAGGATACGGGGGTGAACTTGTGACATTTCCATTAAATATAATTGAGTTATTTAATGCCATTGTTTTAAAGTGTTGACATCAGCACACTGAGAGACGAGAAGCACTTTGTTCTTTATACTAATTATATTGTGCAATATTATGAAAGTCATTAAAGAGGTTAAAATTAGTTTTTTTATATTTAATTTTTTTTCCTTTTTTTTTTTTTAATTCTTTTCGCAGTGATTGTATACATGAATTGTTGGGTCATATGCCTTTGTTGGCTGATCCTAGCTTTGCTCAATTTTCGCAGGAAATTGGTTTGGCTTCATTGGGTGCTTCAGATGATGAAATTGAAAAACTCTCCACGGTAAGTAGAAAACTAAATCAACTACAAGGTGAAATAATTAGTCAGCCAATATATGAGATGGGGGAAATCATTTTTAATTATATATACGAAAATCATGTTTTTCATTTCAAGTTTAAGTCTTTCTGATGGTTTGACTAACCATTTTCAATGATTGTTTTTACTATTATTTTTTCACAATTGTTTTCTTAATCAAACACAATTCATTGAAATGACCTTTAAAGTGCTTTTTTTTAATTTTTTTTTTTTTTTGGTTTTTTAATACGAGTATTTTAATTAAGACTATTTTTTTGCATTAAATTGAAAACAAGTTTAAATAATATATTGTGCTAAAGTATGTGTGGTATTTCTTTTTTCTGCAAATTCTAAAGCCAAGTTTAATGTTTAGTAATGGCAATTACTAAAAAAAGGTATATAGACAGACAGACGAACGGACGGACGGACGGACAGACAGGCCACTTATAAACTAAAGTCAAGTTCGTTGTTAAAAACAGAAAAGTTGGCAAAGCCAACGAAGACGAGAAACCAAACAAACAACAACAACGTTACTTGGTCACTAACACTGCAACCATCAGCAGCTATATATATGGCTTAATCTTGACTTCAATGTGCATTACACTGCAACCAAAAAGACAAGAAAAAAAAAAAAAACCAAAAACAAAAACACTTGCAATTGGTGTTTATAGAAAAATTTATTTTATTTTAGTTAGTGGCCTTGCAAGCATACGTGCTATTTGTTTAATGCTGGCATTACTTACAATTTAACAATAATCGCATTTCAATTAAAAACCGTGAACTAATGTTATATTTGTTTTTTGTACTTGTGTGCTTGTATATTTATCGTTAGGTCTACTGGTTCACTGTTGAGTTTGGTCTCTGCAAAGAACAGGGTCAAGTTAAGGCCTATGGTGCTGGTTTATTGTCTGCCTATGGTGAATTGTTGCACGCCCTTAGTGACAAGTGTGAGCATCGTCCCTTCGAACCGGCTTCAACTGCTGTCCAACCCTATCAGGATCAAGAATACCAGCCTATCTATTACGTAGCCGAGAGTTTCGAAGATGCTAAGGATAAATTCCGTCGTTGGGTTTCCACTATGTCACGTCCATTCGAGGTGCGATTCAATCCTCATACCGAACGTGTGGAAATCTTGGATTCTGTAGACAAATTGGATACTTTACTGCAACAAATGAACACTGAAATCTTGCATTTGTCTAACGCTATTGCTAAAATGCGTCGTCCATTTTAAATGAACGAAACGGCGAACAGTAAATTTCCCAATTAAGTGAAACGCAACCTAAAGATAACTCACCTCAGTTCACTAATCCTTGGAAAAACTTTGACGCTCATCATTCATTGCATGACATCTAATCTCATCTAATATTGTGAGGTTATGTTTTTTTCCTGTTTTTTTTTTTTTTAATTTTTTTATTTTATTTCAAATATTAAAAGTATTTGTATACAACAACAAAAACAACGGCAACAATTTAACCTGAGCACTTTTATATTTTCTTCACAAATTCTTTAATAGTTTTTTTTTTTTTTGAATTTTTTGTTTTCCCTTTGTTTTTGTAGTTTATTTATTTTTCGTTTTACTCATTTTTGTATTGACTCTCACGAAAACTATTATTGGACCAAAAATTTTGTTTATTTAGCTTTTAAGTTTAACTATGATTTTATTTTCGAATTTTTTTTTTAATTTTTATGAAAATTTTTTTAGAAAAAGAAATTTGTTTAAAACCATGTAACTATTACTTAATATATAAATATATATATATATATATATATCAACACATATATATATATGTATATATATATCAACATATATGTATGTTTATGTAGGATATGAGTAGAGTAGTATGTGTATGTAATTGTATATGTGTAGTTTATAAATGTTATATATGTATATATATATATGTATATATATATATACATATATATACAAAAAATTCCGTATTGTATTATTTAAGAATATTAAAAGAAATGACAAATAAAATCAATTTAAGAGAATAAAGATATATAAAAAAAAAACTCAATAATTGTTTTCTCCTCTACAGCTTAAAATGATCAGATAATAAAAATATTGAACAAAAAAAATAATATACCTTACAATTTTAAAATAATTAAAAAGTAAATTATTGCTGAATATTTAAGAAAAAATATTTAAACGCAATATATAAACACACAAGACAATAAAAAAAAAAAAATATTAAGAAAAAACAAGAAAAAAAAAAAATATGAAATATGACGAATTAATAACAGATATAAAAATAACGAGTAAGAAATTTATAGGCAATCGGTGGGATAAAGCTTTGACAATTCTCATGTCAAACTGGGCTTAACAGTTGGGCGTGCGCCTATTCAATAAATGAATTAATTAAGATATCAAGAAATAATTTACAACGCAAAATAAATATATAGCGAAAAAGAAGAAGAAAAACAAAAACGCATAAGGAAACAATAAATTAAAAGGCGATAATTACAAGCTAATATATATATGCGTAATTAGTAAGGGTGTTAATGGTTCGTTTAAAATTTCATTTTTCATAATGAGACGATTTGTTAGCAACAAATTAATTCAATGTTCCTTATAGTCGGATTTATAAGTTAAGATCTCATGTGTACTGTATTGTACTGTACTGTACTGTACGTGTTTTTTTATCGGTTGCCCGTTTGCCCGATATAACTGGCCTAGACTCTATAAGCAAAATCTCCGACTCCTATTTCAAGTTTTTGCGATGTTAAGCATTACCCAACCGAAGATAGACGAACAAATCGATCAGATATCGAAGGCTATATACATGATATGACTGTCATAAATCAGTGGGACAAAGTTAATGTATCTTCGTACTACTACTACTACTACTGCTACTACTACTAGTAGATATGAGAGATCAATTAAGTAACCATTAATGTTTCTTAATATTAATCGATTAGGGAAAGTAAAAACCAAATAAAAAGAAAATTAATAATGAATTATTATTATTAACTGGTTATTGCATAATATTTATAATAAATATGTTATTAAAAATGTATAATAATAACATATATATATATTTTTTTTATTAATATTTCTATATATATAGTAGAAATAATAATATATATGCTTGAAGTTCATTAGTGAATAAATTATTAAAACATTAAGTAAATATATTAATATTTTTTTCCTCATTGAAGCATCAAAAAAAGATGAAACGAAACATTTTATTATTTAGAATCTCAAGTAGGTTCTTAATTATAACTAATTACGCTTAAGCAGGCTATTAACAGGTTAATCTGTAGTTACGTGAAACTTTTCTTTGTTTTGCCAACTTATCTACCTTACTTAGCAATGAAACGCGGCCACATATAACAAACGTTAATTTCGTTAAAAAGCGAAAATTTATCTCAGAGACCTCATCGAACATATCTGTATATATATATATATATATATAATATAATTTACGAAACGGAAATATCATCTCTGAGCACAAATCTATAAAGGTTTCCTTTTAGAAAGGGCCAATCCTTGAACGGCTATAAAAACTTCATGCTGACCTACCTGAGTAGTTAGTTAGCGACGACTTCGCTTCTTCTCAATTATCTCACTAACGGAAAAATTCAAAATTTTTAATGCTTCAAAATATTCCATTCAAATTCAGAATTAGCTTGAAAATTTTTATGACACCTAAATTATTGGCGGTTTATTGCTTTTACATGAGATCGCAGCGACACGTATGATATTGAACACAATGGATGCCTAGGATGGGTGATAAAATTGATTATAATAAAAAACGTAATAGAAATCGTGAAAATTATTCTCGATAATCGAAAAATGAAGTTGCAAGAGATAGTTGACCTTCATCAACCTCCAGATATCAAAGGGTATTCAAAAAATATGCATTCACTTTTTCAAAACAAGATGATTTAAGCGCCAGAAAGAATTATCTGAAAGTGTATCGTGTTTCCTTCCAGATGAATAATGCGAGCCGGTGACTGCAATGATAAGGTTGAATGTATTGAGATTCGAATTGTTTATTCACCCACTTCACACATCCACCGCATTCTCCCGACTAGAATCCCAGCGTCGATTTTTTGCTTACTTCAGGAAAAGAAGATTTGAAGCAAACGTTGTCGTTGCCCAAATTGAAGTATTTTAGATTTTGAGGGTCTTAGCAAATCGTTCCATAGATTCAGAATCATCTTCTCAAGCTTCTGTCGTAACCCTCTGAGCTGTGCGTCTATCTGTCTGATGTGCTGCCCATGTAAACTTGTGTTCTACTTTGGATCGGTCTACTTTCTCTACCACTCGTCACATAGCGCCCTATTTTGAAAAGTCATTATGTGGACAAAAGTTTCAATTTTCAAAATATCTCAACAAAAGTGGCCAAGTAATAGAATTTAGGTATTCTAAATTGGGAGGCGGGCTATTGAATGATTGGGTTAATTTTTTGAAACTCCTCTCATATAACGAAAATTGAAGTTCATACGATAAGATGGACTGATTTTCAATGCTTTGTGATGAAAATATATAGAAATATATATATATATATGTATACATATATAAATATATATATATATATTTATATATATATTATATTTTACAATGAATTTATTGTTTGCATTAATTATATATTTATTATTATGTTACTCAAAAATGTAAGACTCTTATATTCACCTTGGGGCGATTCTCTTTAATATCTTCCATTATAAATCAATTTATAAAAGTTGCCAGGTACTTAGTTAATTGTGGGTGTGCCAATTAGTCGCTCGGAAGTTTTTTAGTTAATAGACACTACTTTAAATTAATCTATAACTAGTAAAAAGACACTATAGTGGGCCAAGGCCGACCATTAATTACCCTATGTCACTTCACTTAATACAGTCATTTATATAAAGACTAAAAGTGTTTCCGAGTCGATCGGTATAATAAAAGGTCAATCGATCTAAACTCTCTCTCAACCTTTTTTTTTTTTTTCAACTCAATACCTGTTATATAGGTCCACTTATATAAAAGGTTTTTTACCTGTGGTGGTTAGGTTTATACGCGGATTAGGTTCACTCTGATACTCACATCGCACATATTAGCATCGATTTATAGATCAATAGCACTTAGATGTTGTGCATGGCTAAAAATCTTCATTCATATTTAATCTTATAAAGAACATTGTTATTCAAACATTGTAGGCAAACTTAATAAAAACTTCAATGAATGGAACATTATAGTCGGGCAACGCCGGCAATTACACATCGTACACCACTTCGATGAGTGCAATAATTCGCACGCATTTGGTAATAATCTAAATTGCCACAGCCGGTCAAATTTTTCTCCATGTAACGACTTTTCCAAATAGGACGTTATACGGGGAGTGGTCAAAAAAGTGAACCGATGCGAACCATTATCGAATGGCGTTTCTTCTGGAGCGTCTGTGTACCAAATTTGATCAAAATATCTCGAAAATTGTGGCCTGCAACTTGAACACAAAAATACATGGGCAGACATCAGACGGACAGAAAGGCTTCGATCGATTTACGAAATGGTTCTGAAACGGATGAGTCCATCTTAAGCCCTACTGGGTGTGACGGACGTCCGCACCAACTAATATACCCCGTAGCACTAGTGATGCAAAGTATAAATATCACACACAACAATTTGGGCAGAAAAACGTGCCGTAGAAGGTTTTCAAAAAGTACCGAAAGGGCTATACGCCCTTGGATTGCTTAAACATGCATTGTATGACACTTTAAAAGTTCGATTTTTTTAACCTTTTTTATTACAAAAGTTTTCTATGCCCAATGGAGAAGTGATGGCATCAGTAGAAGAATATTTCATATGTTTTAACGAAAATAATTTCGCGTTGGTATGAATAGGTTGCAAAATGGCTAAAAGAATTAATTTTAAGGCGGAAAAAAAATATCGAAAGAATAATTTATTCAAACTCATTATTACTCAGGTTGATCGGTAGTTAACTTTCGTGAATTCTATATGATCGACTTTCAATTTTCCATCAAAATGTTTACGTTCGCGGTTAGGTTATAGCCAAACAAATATCCTTTGATGAGTTTCCCATTTATTGAAAGCTGATCGATTTGATACTTCATTTGTGTGCATATAAAGATTACTAGCATCCCACACACACTTTTCATTAAACGTACGTACACTAAAGCGATGGTGTTCGTCAGCAATGAGCGTATCGTGTCGGTTGAGAAGGTTTTATGTAGAGAGAAAATCAATATGATTCCGTTACACTTTTATACCATTATCTAATTTAAGTCATCAAATTTGTTAAAATTTGAAGTTAGGATTTCTAAACTTGTTAAGAAGATCTAACTCCAAAAATTTGATTCATAAAATTAAAGTAAGAATATTCGCATCAATTAAAAACTAAATGACGGACCAACAAACAGGCAGATGGATAGCCAAAAACCCAATGCCATCTCCATTAATAATAATACTTAAGCGTTACAAAGCTATCATAGCGTACTCTCACCTCTTGATAATTGCATACAAAAATTGAAAAGGAAAGACTTGAATAAAATATAAGAACGATAAGACGATATTATGTAGATTTCATAAGATTCGACTTAAGCTATATTGTATTGGTTTAGATTAGCGAATTATATTTAAATAAATTGTTACTCTAATATATTAATTTTA